CAAGTCGTGAGTGTGGGCCGTAATTGGTTTCAGGGTCTACTGCCATTATACTGTCAACTCAACAACTCAGTGGGGTAACAAAATTTTGATGGATATGAGAAAATTGTCATTCATTTCAACACGACGACAATTTCGGTTATTTCATACAAATGTTCTTTTATTACAGTGTACATTATAAGAAGATATAAACATGAAGTGATAAAGTTCTTTTTTCAATATAAATAAATATAAAAAAAACCTAATAAATAATACAAAAAACAATAATTAGCATTTCCACATATTTCAATGTAAATATTATGAAAAGTGTATATCTAAACATTTAGCTTAAACATAATTAAATAAAATAGTTTGAATATGAAATATGGAAAAGACTCTTCTTTATGGCATATCTAGGTAACTCACATCATTACACAAATTAAAACACGTGTTATTGCCAATTTCGAATAAGATAAGATAAAATACCACATATTAAATGAACAAATATCATAAAAAATATCTTAGACATATCTATATCTATGATGATACTATAATGTATTAAAATGACCCTTCTAAATAAAGATTATAATAATTAAGTTTTAATGTCGATTGCATGTGCATTTGCACGTGCAATAGTGCTAGTTATATAAATTTTTTTAAAAAAACTTAGTGATGGTAGTGAAATTTTTTTAGGAATGGAAGACATTTAGCCATCCTTAATGTAATCATGATGATAGAATTGTAATTTTATAAGAAATATTTTTCACTTTTGTTTTTTTCCTAGAACATTCTAGATTATGGTATGTGAATAAGATTTGAAACTTACATAATTGTAATATTCTAATAATGCGAGTTCAAATCTTATTTTCATGTCAAGATTTAGAATATTCTAGAAACAAAGAAAAGAAACAAATTATTTCTCTTGTAAAATTACAATAAGAGATATCATTATAGATGTTATAAGAGAAATAAATATAAAACGGTAAGTTAATTTTTTTCTTAAAAAAATTATTAGATATATATCAATGTAAAATATAACAATTGTAAATTTGACTATGACCAAATTTAAGTGCCCTTTTTAATTCGAAATGATAGAGTTTTTAAACAACTCCTTACAGTTCTTTATTATTAGGAACAAGTATTAGCCATATATTGATTTTAGTTGATATATAATAAAAAAAAGTAACCTTCTCATGCTCCAATAACTTCATTCTCTAGTCTCAAATTTATAAGAATATTACATCATTATATTTTTTTAATACTATATCTTAGGAACATTGGTGTATTTTTTAGCAAACTCAAACTTTAGGAAATATAAACTTAAAAAATATGAAACCTTTGGGTATTTAAATACAAGTAACACTTTTTACATAAAATTTAGAAATAAATAGGATGTAATAAATTTTATTATTTTTAAATTTTAGTGGGGTAGGAAAAGTTCGAGGGATGTTGGAAAATTGTCCTTCATCTCAATAAAGACATTATGACAAATTGGTATTTTCACTCAAATTTTTTCTTTACTTTTTATGTCCTTATTTATTTCTAGAATTTTATAAAGCACATCATAGATCTTACTAATTAAATATATATTACATTTTATATTATAAAAAGATATAAATATGAAACGATATAGTTCTTTTTCTTCTAAATAAATGCAATAAAAGTAACAATTAGAACTTTAACATGCTCCATTATAAATGTTATCGAACGTTCATATCTAAATACTTAGCTTGAAAATAATTAAATAAAACAATATGAATATGAAATATGAAAAAATGTCTCTTATTACTGACATATATAGGAGACTTACGTCATTACCCAAATTGAAATATAAGATATCTACGAAATTTATGTCATTACTCAATTTAAAATATAAGACATAATCAATTCGGAATAACATAAGATAAAATATTGCATATGAAATGAACAAATATCATAAAAAGATCTTAGAAATATTAATGACAAGTTAGGGCATTAAAATGAATTTTTTATATAAAATTTAGAATAATTAAGTTTTTAATTTTAGTTGCGCATGCCATAATTCTAGTGCATAAAGAACCATTCTTATTGTTTGTATGAGTTTCATTTCTAGGATTCCGAAAATGTCCTCGTAATTGGTTAAAAATTTTTAATGGATTCATTTGAACAAATCAACCAAAAAGCAATGAAGCCTTAAAAGCATAAATGGAGATGTCCTCGATTTTGGAAAAGCTGAGAAAATTTATAAATTGTTAGCAGATTATGTGTCATGCACACATTGCGTGCGCCAAAACACTTGTATGTATACTTTAAAAAACTGAGCATTTTTGTCAATAGTCTTAAAATATTTTACTGTCTACAACACTACTTTTTGTTCAAAATTTATTTTTGTTAATGTGTATGAAGAAACTGAGTTCACGCCTATCATCTTCAAGGAGAGATTAGTTAATTTGCAAATAATTACTTCCTTAGTGTTGTTGTTGGTATTATATCTAATAATGTATATATCCAAAGTTTTCCTTTTTGAAAGAAAAGATGACTTCTCAAAGTTGAAACTCCAACCTTGTGCATGAAATATCCAATAAAGTAAGGTGTGGGGTTCAATATCAAGAGTCTACCCTTTTATCTCTTGCATAGTAGTAGTAGAAAAGTATAGTATATTTATCATTCTTCTTTTTGTTCATACAAAAGCCGAGTGTTTCTTATTTCTATATCAATGTACACATACTTTTTCATGTTTTGATTGATGTCATTACAAAATTTAACTAAATTATTCTACAGAAATCATACTCTGACAGATAACTATTTTAATTCAACATTCAAAGGGATAAATGACAAAAATTCCATTTGGTAAAGGATCATATTTCAAACGAAGAAGAAAATCGAAATATTATCTCGAACGAGAGAGACAACATTTTTTGCAAAAACATAAGTCATCGAGGGTTTATGTGCAAGAAAAGCTAAAGAAAATCCTGAGGCGGTGGGATACAGCAAATTTCTACACCCGGCTTCCCCTCTCGTCGTCGATCATCGACCGAAACCCCAACTCAAAGCGCATCATTCCCTCAAAAAATAGGCATATGTGCTCCTCCTCCTTGATTTCGATCTCAACTTCTAACAAAAAACTAGAAAAAATCGAAAGAAAATAAGCAAAGATGGCTCCTTTCGATAGGAGCAATCGAGAACGAGAGCAGGGCGACGATGAGCCCTCGATTTTGGGCGTTCTCTTCTTTGGTTTGATCGGCGCAACCGCGACCACTATTGCGGTAACAAATTTACCCTTTGATTCTTCCTTTTCTCTAGGAATTTGGTATTCTTTGATTATTTTCTTTTTGATTTTAGATATTTGCTTCTACATTTTTACAAGTAATACAAAAGTTCTTTCATTCAACTACAGTGGTTTGATGATGGATTTTACTCGAAAAAAGAAAATGAGTCTGTAAACATTGACGAAGGATGTTGGTTTCGGGAGTGTAGACCCAAACCTGGAACAAAATCAAAAGCTGGAAAAAAACCCCAGACCGGTCGACCGAAGGGAACATCAGTCAACCGATTCGAACACCAGGAAAACAGGAAAGTCTCTATTCGGTCGACTGATAAGTCGACCGATAACGTGCACAAGTAGTCCTGAGAAAAACACGTTCTGGTCAGTCGACCGATAACTCGTATCGGTCGACCAATAGTGGTTAAAACAGAATCCTGGCCCGTTTGAAAACCTGTTTGAGTTAGGATTATATATATATATATATAGTACATGAAAAAGAGTGTGTTTTGAGACTTGAGAGCACTTTGAGATCAGAGATCTTAGATCTTAGAGAGAGTGGCGTATTGCATGCTTTGTAATATTTTTCAATAATCAAAGAATTTCTGGTGTGGCTCCCGAGGACATATGCACATTTGCCGAACTTCGTTAAATCTGATGTTCTCTCTTTCATTTATTCTTTCCTGTAAGTTTTTCAATTCCGTACGATTTTTTGCTTGCTAATTGTTCATCACAAGATCCGGAGGGCATGAGTTGTCGATTGTTCAATTGTAACTAGGGCTGAGCACGGTTCGGTTTGGGTCAGTTTTTACCAAATTTTGAACAACCGAACTGAACCGCATATAGTTCAAAACCGAACCGAACCGTTGCAAGTCGGTTCGGTTTGTTCGGTTCTAAATTTATTTTTAGAATGACTTAAATAGTAGACTTGCTAAATGCTAAATTAAATAGAATATATTGTGATGGGTAAGGGATCCCATGAATATTAAATAGTAGTATTTCAGGGGTTGCCGACTTAATTTGGAAAAACAAGAGAAAAAAAGGAACAAAATCATCATTCATGAAAACATATATACCAGAAAACAAATTAAGGATCGTTATCAAAGCACAAACTCAGAAATCATAAGAGAATAGGAGTGCATAAATAAACAGGAAACTGATAGTCCGATATCTCAACTTACTAGCTGATGTATCTAAGGAAATAAATCAAAATTAAAGAATAATAAAGGTTATACCTCGGCCTCGGTGACGACGACGGGTGCGGGTGTCCCCCCAAAGCCGGAGACAGATCCTGAGTCTGAGGAGATGTTTCGGTCTCGGCCATGAAGACTGCGGAAGTGAGGAAGAGGAAGAGGAAGTGAGAGAGGTGGACCTTAGAACTGAGGATTGAGGAGTGAGAGAGAGTGAGAGAGAAGAACTGAGGAGGCGGCTGAGAAAGGGGGAAGGGAAGTTTAGGTTGAGGAGTGAGAGAGAGTGAGAGAGAAGAACTGAGGAGGCGGCTGAGAAAGGGGGAAGGGAAGTTTAGGTGTTTAGGGTTTGAGAGTCTGAGACTTTGTACTGAGGAGGCGGCTGAGAAAGGGGGAAGGGAAGTTTAGGTGTTTAGGGTTTGAGAGTCTGAGACTTTGTTTTTAGGGACGGGTCGGGTTTGAGTAGAATGAATATTTAGACCATGGGGTATTCGGTCGGTTCGGATTAAAAAGTTTTCAACCCGACCCGAACCGCCCTACTCTTAAAACCTATTTGTTCGGGTCGGTTCAGTCGGTTTTTTCGGTTTGGACCGAACCATGCTCAGCCCTAACCACAACAACTAATATCAGAGCTTCGTTCGACAAGTATGAGAGCTATAGCAGAGGAAAGCAAATCGAAGATTGAGAAGTTTGACAGATCAGACTTCGCTTACTGAAAGTTGCAGATGGAGGACTATCTGTACCAGAAATATCTTTATCGTCCGTTAATGGGAAAAACTAAGGAAAAAAAGGATGAGACTGACGATGACTAGGAAATACTAGACCGGAAGGTTCTAGGGCAGATCTGGTAGTCGCTCGCAAAGTCAGTCACCCACAACATATTGAAGAAGACGACGATGGGGCTTATAGAAGCGCTCGCAAAGATGTACGAACAATCGTCAACTGTAAACAAGGATCATTTTGTTAAGACATTTTTTGACCTCAAGATGGCAGAAGGATACTCCTTCACGTTGCATCTCAGCGAGTTTAACATGATTGTTCATCAACTCATCTCCGTCGACATTACGTTTGATGATGAAATGCAAGTCCTATTGATACTATCGTAGTTACCAGATAGTTGGGCAGGTTGCGTGACCGTAATTAACAACTCGACAGGAAAGGAGAAGTTAAAGCTGAGCGAGGTCGTCAGTATGATTCTATCTAAGGAGGTTAGAAGGAAGTCGTCTGAATCAAAAGGCTCAGGTTCAGCCCTAAATTTTAAACAAAGAGGCCGAAGTCAAAACAAGGGTAACCAGAACAAAAAGCGGTCGAACTCGAAGGTAGGACCTATGAAAGAAAAATATTAGAACTGCGGTCAGGAGGGTCATATGTCTTCAGTCTGCAAAGCGCCAAAGAAGGATGTAAATGAGCATGAGGTTGATATTGTACAAGATCCCTTGATCCTTACTATGGACAGTGACACTAATTCATAGGTTATTGATTCGGGAGCCTCGTTCCACGTTATTGCTAATAGGAAGCTCCTTCAGAACTATGTAGCAGGTGACTTTGGGAAAGTGTACTTGGGGGACAACGAGCCTTGCAATATTGTGAAAATAGGCGATGTACAGATTTAGATGAAGGATTCTAAGTGGTCTCTGAAGAACTTGATATATGTACCGAAGCTGAAAAGGAATCTTGTTTCACTTGGCTAGCTTGGAGCAGAAGGCTATGTTTCGATATTTACTGAGGATTTGTGGAAGATTTTTAATGGTACTATGATGGTTGCTTGCGGCAACAAAACCAGAACTCTCTACTTAACTTCACATGCGAGTGACACCCTCACAATTACAGCTGACAAAAAAAATGTAGATTTTTGGCACAATAGGTTGGGACACATTAGTGAGAAGGGCATGAAGATTCTACACTCTCAGGTAAAGCTATCCAGCATCGATTCAGTGAAAATTGGTGTTTGTGAAAACTGCATCCACGGGAAGCAAAAGAGGGTTAGCTTTTAGAAGAGTGGAAGATCACCTAAAGCTCACAAGCTAGAGCTTGCTCATACAGATATATGGGGTCCAGCTAGCATGTCTTCTTTTGGTGGTTCGGTGTACTACATCATCTTTATCGACGATTACTCGAGGAAGATGTGAGTATACTTCATGAAGCACAAGTCAGAGATGTTTGAGATCTTTAAGAAATGGAACGCCATGATAGAGAACAAGACATATCTGAAGGTGAAGTGTCTGAGATCGGACAATGGTAAAGAATACGAGCTGGAAGAGTTAAAAAAGTTGTGTTCTGAATGAGATTCGCTTAGAGAGGACTACTCCAGGAACACTGTAACAGAACGACGTTGTAGAAAGAATGAACAGAACATTGACAGAGTGTGCAAGGAGCATGTATTTACATGCAGGTCTACCTGAGACGTTTTAGGCGGATGCGGTGCATACAACAACTTACTTGATAAATCATGAGTCTTTAGTTTCATTAGATTTTGGGATTTCAGAAGAGGTTTGGAGTGACGAGAAAGTTAATCTCTCACATTTGAGGGTCTTTAGTTGCGTGACATATGTTCATATCAGTGATCATATCAGAGACAAGCTAGAAGCTAAGTTACAGAAGTATGCATTTATTGGATACGACATTGATGAGTTCAGATATCATCTGTGGGATGATAAGAACAGAAAAATCATCAGGAGTAGAGATATCATATTTAATGAAGAGGTGGTGTACAAGGACAGAGACAATGTCAAGGATAGCCAAAACAGTGAGAGCAGCACTAATGATGCATGTGGATTCAAGTACATGGATTTAGATGAACTTTCAGATGGGGGAGACAATGCCAGTTCTGATCGAAGAACGGAGAAGACTCTAGGTGTAGAGACATGTACCCAGGACGAGGAGCTTAGAATGTCATCCAGAGTACCCAAACCAAATCTCATATATCTTTCGTCACTAGATTACTTGTTTTTAACAGATAGTAGAGAACCAGAGTGTTATGAGGAGGCAATGCAAGTTGGTGAATCTTAATAGTGGGAGTAGACGATGCAAGAAGAGATGGATTCTTTCTATTCGAATGAGACATGGGAGTTAGCCCAACTACCTGCGTAGAAAAAAACCTTACATAACAAGTGGGTCTATTGGATCAAGCAGGAGAGTGATGGAAGCAAAAGATACAAGATCAGATTAGTTGTGAAAGGATTCAAACAAGATCAGAGTGAATTATATATGGGAGTTAGCCCAGCTACCTGCGTAGAAAAAAACCTTACATAACAAGTGGGTCTATTGGATCAAGCAGGAGAGTGATGGAAGCAAAAGATACAAGATCAGATTAGTTGTGAAAGGATTCAAACAAAGAGAATGAGTGAATTATATAGAGATATTTTTTCCATTGTGAAGCTTACAACCATCAGAGTGATGTTGAACTTAGTAGCTGCTGAAAATCTCTACCTTGAGCAGTTGGATGTGAAGATTGTCTTTCTTCATTGTGTCTCGGATAAGAAATCTATATGAAGCAACATGTTAGCTTTATAGAGGAAGAAAAGAGAGATGGTGTGTAAGCTGAAGAAGAGCTTGTACGATTTAAAACAGACTCCAAGACAGTGGTACAAGAAGTTTGATAACTTCATGCAGAGCAATAGTTATGGTAGATGCAATTTACATTATTGTTGTTACTTCAAGAGGTTTGAGTCCAGCTATATCGTGTTATTGTTGTACATAGATGACATGTTAGTTGCAAGACCATGTTTACATGAGATAAATAAGTTGATGCAGTTAGCATAGGAGTTTGCCATGAAGGATTTGAGTGCAGCCAAGTAAATTTTTGGGATGCGACTCA